CATTTCTCGGGGTTGAGCTTCATGTTGTATTTCCTTAAAATCTCGAATGTTTCCTGCAAATGGGTCAAATAGTCCTCTACGCGCAGTGACTTAACTAGCATGTCATCAATATAAAGTTCCATTGATTTACCTATTTGTTCCTCGAACATTTTATATACTAGGCGTTGGTAAGTAGCTCCTGCATTTTTTAGCCCGAAGGGCATCACATTATAACAATATGTTCCATACTTGGTGACAAATGAAGTCTTTTCTCGGTCTTCCGTGTTCATTTGGATTTGATTATACCCGGAATAGGCATCGAGAAAACTAAGGATCTTGTGGCCGGCCGTGGCATCGATAATGCGATTGATGTTGGGCAGCGGAAAGGAATCTTTGGGGCATGCTTTGTTTAAATCCTTATAATCTACACGCATCCTAAGTTTGTTCCCTTTTTTAGGCACTACAACTACATTGGCTAACCATTCAGGATATTTCACCTCCTGAATGGACCCTATTTTGAGATGTTTGGTTACCTCGTCCTTTATGAATGTGTGCTTTACCTCGGACTGGGGTCTTCTCTTCTGCTTCACCGGTCTGAACCTGGGGTCCAAGCTTAGCTGATGCGTCGTTATATCCGGTGGGATCCCTGTTATATCTAAATGGGACCATGAAAAACAATCTACGTTATCGATAAGAAATTGAATAAGTTTTTTCCTGAGTTCGGGGGTCAACCCCGTTCCCAGGTATACCTTCCGTTCGGGCCAGTGCTCTATTAGTGTGACTTGCTCCAATTCCTCAATCGTTGATTTGGTAGCGTCGGAATCATCGGGAACCACGAATGATCGAGGGATCCTTTGATCATCATCTTCATTGATCTACTGATTTTTTGGTCTGGTTAAAGCTGATGTTTGTGATTGCTATTTGGCATCTCGTTCCTCGATGACAAGCATTTCTCTTGCGACTGGTTATTCTCCGTACACTGTTTTGACTCCCCTTGATGTTGGGAATTTAAAGACCTAGTGTAGGGTCGAGGATACAACTCTCATATTATGAATCCATGGCCTTCCAAAAAGGGCGTTGTACCTTATGTCGCCTTCGATTACGTGGAACTTCGTTTCCTGGATGGTCCCGGCCACATTTATCGGTAGAATTATCTCGCCTTTGGTGGTTTCACATGCCATATTGAATCCGTTTATAACTAGGGTTGCGGGGTACGACCTGGTCCTGTAGATCGAGCTACCTGGATAAATTAACACACGCTTAACTTAGTTCTATTCATAAGTACAGATATTACCAGTGCATCATTATGAGGTTGTATGACTCCTTCTACATCTTCATCATCGAATGACAAAGTTCCTATGGGTGCGTAATCCTGAGTTCGAGATCGTTTTTCTCTAACAATCGATGTCTTAATGCGTTTAAGCACCAGTCCTTGAGGGGTATCGGCGCCGCCGATGATCATGTGAATGACGTGCTGCGGTTCTTCTTATTCGTTTTGCTTGCCGAAATCCCTGTTTTTAAAATGGTTCTTCGCCCTATCGCTTAAAATTCTCGAAGGTGCCCTTTGTTGAAGAACCGGGCTACCTCCTCTCTTAGTTGCCTGCAATCTTTCGTTCTATAGCCATGTGTGTTATGATATTCGCACATTTGATTGGGATTCCTCTGGGCAGGATCAGTCTGCATGGGTCGAGTCCATTTAGTGCCTTTGATGCGTTCGATAGCCGACACGATGACAGATGCATCAATGCTGAAGTTATACTCCGATAACCAAGGCGCTTCCTTAGATCCTGTAGGCCTGTCGAACCTACTTCTATTCATCAGCCCTCGAGAACCTTGACCTCGATCACTTCTTTTGTTATTTTGTCCAGGGTTATGTCTCGATTCACCGACTATGTTGTTTCCGTTATACGGTCGGTATCGATCCCTGATCGGACCTTGTTCTCGATTAATATCCCTTCGAGCAGCAGGTTCAGCCCCCAACTGATCATCTTCGACCCTAATTTTTGATTGGTACCGATTGTGCACGTTGGCCCACGTGATGGATGAGTATTCGATCGGGTTATGCTTCAACCGCTGTGAAACCGTCGAACTTCGTTCGTTCAAACCTTGAGTGAAAGTCTGAACAGCCCAATCGTCTGTGACTGGTGGTAGATCCATTCGTTCCATTTGAAAACGAGATATGAACTCCCTCATCATCTCGTTATCCTTTTGTCTTACCTTGAAAAGGTCTGATTTCCTTGTTGCGACTTTTATGGCGCATGTGTGCTTTCACAAAACAATCTGCTAACATGGCAAACGAGTCGATGGAATTCAGTGGTAGGTTGTGATACCAAATCATTGCTCCCTTCGAGAGGGTCTCCCCGAATATTTTAACAACACAGATTCGATTTCATCGTCTTCTAAATCATTGCCCTTGATGGCACACGTGTAAGAGGTGACGTGTTCGTTGGGGTCGGTCATTCCGTTATATTTGGGAATTTTGGGTATACGAATTTTTTTGGGGATTGGTTTTGGGGCTGCGCTCGAGGGAAAAGGCTTTTGCATGAATTTTTTGGAATCAAACCCTTTTATCATTGGTGGAGCTCCCGGGATCTGATCGACCCTGGAGTTATATGTTTCTATTTTTTTTATCGTTGGCTTCGACTCACTTTGTGAGCTCTTCGAGTATTTTAGCAATTTCGGGAGTAGTCCCCGATTCTTGCTCATTTGACCTCACTATGGCTGGCTCCGTTCGGTGGGCGATTTCTCTAGGTGGACTGGGCTCCGACCTGCACGGTAGCTGGGTTTGGCTCTGCAACTGAACTATTGCTGCCTATTGAGCTTGCAACATTTTGAAAATCATACGTAAGTTGACACCGTTTTCCTCGACGTTATGGGTATCTCGAGTTATAGACCGAGTGCTACCATGAATGCTATTTTCGGGTTCAGAATGTAGGTTCGCCTCAATGGCCACATGCAAATTGATATCTATCGGTACTTCGATTCGAGCTCTAACGGTATTGACAAGTGGTATTTCGGTACTGGGTGTCAAGTTGTTGTTCTCATCTTGAAGACCAGCTTCGTTGTTGATAGGTGAGGCTATTTGATTGGTAGTTAGTCGTTGCTAATCCGAAATCCAAGATATTTTCGGAAACAAGCGCAAAACGGGTGTGTTTTTGCAGATTCGTATCAAATAACCACTGTTATCCTTAGCCCCACGGTGGGCGCCAAACTGTTTATCCGAAAAACGGATAGAGTTGAATTTGTACGTAGCTCTAGAGGATATGTGGTATAGCTTAATACAAAACGTAAGGATAAATAGAAATCTCAAATACGGATACCAAATAAACAAGGTTGGAAAGAAGATGATTTCTAGGACTAATCAAGATGAATCAATGTATGAATCTTAAGAGAATAATTCTTCAATATAGGAGTGTATGGTGCTTGAATTTACAATGTAGGCCAAAAGAACGCCCCCCTACAGAAATATAGCCACTCTCTTTATAGTGTAGGATCCTACTTTAGATATAATTAAAAATACATAGTGGAGAACCCATGATAAATCAGTTTTTTCCTAATTTCCACCGAGATTCTCTCCCTTAGTGTGTTTGCAACGGTTCTTGTCTGTGAGCTCGAGCTCGATCGGCCTCGGTGCTCGTCGGTATTGCTTCTAGAGCTCGATGTGAACTCGGGATCATGTGATGGTTCATGCTCGGTATCGGTTGTCCTCTGCCCCTTAAGCTCGAAACCATGTCATCATAGTTCGATTCGGACCCGAGCTCGATAATAACTTTGAACTCGGTGTTTGACCTATACCTGAAATCTGAAGCTCGTTCATACCATCTTCGGATCCCATCTCGATATCATGAAGTCTTTTTTTGATCCATTATGTTTCGACCACGATCAATCGTACGAACGCCGAAATCTATTTCGACCGTATACAAAGTGTTTGATTTTGATATTCAAGAGATATATCCAAAACTGAATCACATGACAACGGTAGTGTAATTACACTTAACTATTTCCTCGTATTTTAGATGGTTTTTGTTTTAACAGAACCTAGACATTAATTGCGGTTTATATAACCAATCTTTAACTCCACCTTAATGGTTTCTAGATATTTTTACCTAACTCAACAATAAGTCAACAGAAATAAAAGCTGCATTACGGCACGTGTGCTACTATGTCATCTACCTCTAAAAATTATTTGGAGGTTTTGTTGACAGACAATTAGGGGAGTATTTAATGATTATGCATTAACCTTCAAAATCCCTCCTCAAATTATATGATTTGGTTTTTTTCACTTTCATTTAATTGTTAAAAAATTTAACCTCTCACCTTCAAAATTCTGCATAAGCAAATCGCACACTTATATATAAATGAGTTCTCAAACTTGATACTAAAGGAGAAAATGACCACACAAAAAAAAATCAATGGATGGAGTGAATGTCGAATTTTAATTGTGAATCTAGAATTTAAACTCAACAAACATTAAAATATTGTATAATCCACGACTCATTTGTAATAGAGGATGCCACGGCCAACGTTACATATATTTATTTATTTGTTTGTTTGTTTTTGTTCTTCGTACCATGAAAATGAGCTTTAACTTCTATATCTTGATTATTATATTATTTGGTTTTTAAAAATTTCTATAATTAATAACTTACAAAAATATAACTGGTAACGCACTATAATAAATTAAGATACATTAATGGCGCAAAAATATTTTACACTATAGTATACAAGTTAAATCCTAGTATCTAAATATAGTTCGTTCCGATGGAAAATAGTTGGTATGAAAGTGGCCAAAACCTTGTGCGACGGGAGAGTACAACTATGCAAGAGCTGGGCCAAAACCAACCGAAGTTGACATAAATGGCAAAAAGACACCCAAATCCCAATAAGGCTTAAAAATAACAGTCCTAGGAAAAATCTTAGGCCAATTTGGACAATCTGACCAAAACGCGTTTTTCTTGTAAGTCTTGTCTGAATTACTACAACTATTTACTGTTACATCAGCACATACATATAATAGCAACTTCCCCTCTATCTATGGTTAAGCTGCATGTAAATATAGTATGTCAAATGCTAATGCTACAATTTTCCTTAAAATAAATGAAAACCCAATAAGAGTTTAAAGACCAATTCTTACTTTCTCGAGCTTAAGTTTTCACTATTTATTCTTCTAATCAAGATCTCAATTTTTTCTCCTTTCTCAGTTCTTTGACCTTCCCATGTCATAGCACAAATTCTCTTTCTAGTGATTTATCTTGTTCTTTGTGATTGTTGAAGCTTTATAATCAATTTACTATGTTTGTGCTTTTGATTACTTGGAAACTTTGATTAATCTTTTGGTTAATTGATTCTATTTTGTATATATCAAGGTTAGTTGCAGGGATTTGGATATTGTTTTTCAGCTCATTTTGAATCTTGATTTGGTAAGCATAGAATTAGTGCTGGATTTGAATTCTTGTTGACTTGTTTGTAGTTAATGAGGAGAAGTTTGACTTTATTTTTGGTATTGGATTATTTGGTTGAAGTATCAAGATCTTGTTGATTTCTAGGGACATTATAGAGCTCTATGAAAAGAAAGATCTTAGTGTTGGAAGGAAGTACAGTAACAACAACATATACAGTATAATTCCACAAGTGGTCTGAGGAGGGTAGTGTACTCCTACCCTGTGGAGGAGTGTAGGAAGGAACTATAGGGGTAATTTTAGGAACAAATGGGGAACACTTGTGTAGGACCAAGTATTTCAAAAAATGGAATCTTTCAATCAGTTTCAGCAGCAATGTGGCGATCCCGGTCGCCCGATGACACTGCGTCCACCACTAATGGTGAAAGTGCTAGAATTGAAACACCAATTTCCGTTAATGAACCTGATTCACCTTTGCCAGTTCAAGAGCCACCGGAGCAAATGACAATGCCCAAGTCAGAAAAGAAAGAAGAGGAACAACAACCAAAAAAGCCCAAAAAGCCTGCTGAAATGAAGAGGGTGTCAAGTGCTGGCCTTAGGACTGATTCTGTGTTACAAAAGAAAACTGGCAACTTAAAGGAGTTTTTCAGTATAGGAAAGAAATTAGGACAAGGGCAATTTGGAACTACATTTAAATGTGTCGAAAAGGCAACAGGGAAGGAATATGCTTGCAAGTCGATTGCCAAGAGGAAGTTGTTAACAGATGATGATGTGGAAGATGTTAGAAGGGAAGTACAGATAATGCACCATTTGGCGGGGCATCCTCATGTTATATCGATAAAAGGTGCTTATGAGGATGCTGTAGCTGTTCATGTTGTTATGGAGTTCTGTGCTGGCGGTGAGCTTTTCGATAGGATTATTCAACGGGGACACTATACTGAAAGAAAAGCAGCTGAGCTTACCCGGACTATTGTTGGAGTTGTAGAAGCTTGTCATTCTCTTGGCGTCATGCATCGTGATCTTAAGCCTGAAAATTTTCTTTTTGTTGATCAGAAGGAGGATTCACTTCTCAAAACAATTGACTTTGGGTTGTCAATATTCTTCAAACCAGGTAGTCTGTTTGATCCCTTCTTTGAAACTGCTGGGAGATACTTACTCAGTTGATGGGTACACAATGTGCTCAGAATCTAACTTATTTATTTAACTTATTTTCACTATTACTATTATTTTATTTTGGCATGATGATGATATGAGTTTAGCTTAAAGAAATAAATGAGGATTCATATCGGCGACGCCAACTTTGTTTGGCTTTGAGGCATAGTTGTTGTTGTAATGTGCTCGGAAACTATTAGAAAGAATAAGCATGAAATTGAAATGTGTTCTTCATGATTTTGCTCAGTATAGCTAAAACATGAAATAAGATTGTGATTTTCTTTTTGTGAAGTCCAAAAAGTATCTCCAGTGGCAGTGGCTTTAAGGAACCAATTCTTTACTCCAACCCTTTTCCTTCATTGGACACATTGATAGGATAGATTGACATTGTCTTTCTCTGTTAAAGTGCCTCTTTTTATTAGTTGAAATTTCCACACCGTGAACAATTTGAAGTTATTAAGTGTTTGGGTTGGGGTGTCTTCAAAATGTTGTTTCACTAAAGCTGTCTCAGAATAATATTGGGATTTTAATCAGGTTCTACGCGTAATCGTACTAGCAGTCTGTTATATTGACTTATATGCATACTATCCTTTTAGTCACTTTGATTGGGATTTTTGAACTCGTTGGCATCTTTAAAAAACACACTGTATAACCATCTAATCCATTTTAACATTTTTTCTCCTTTATTCTATGTTGACCTTATTTATTCTTTCCAAACTGCTTATTAATTATTATATTTCTCTTTTCCAGGTGACAGATTTACTGATGTTGTTGGCAGTCCATATTATGTTGCACCAGAAGTTCTCCGAAAACGTTATGGTCCTGAAGCTGATGTTTGGAGTGCTGGTGTAATTATCTACATCTTATTAAGTGGAGTACCTCCTTTCTGGGCTGGTAAGGATTCCCAAGTCATCAAAATTGGCACTTGTTGGACTCTTTTCACTTCATTCTGTAGCTCTTCTATATCTTGTACTCTAGAGTTCTTTGCTTTTCCACTTCTATTTCATTTTTAAGAAACCTAGAATGTGCATTTGTTATCCTACTGAATTATTTTAGTACATGGACATTCCAACACCTCTATCAGCCATCTCTTTCACTTCTTCACTACTACCTCTCAATCTAACCCAATTTAGTAGAGAGTGGCAGTAATTTCTATTCATTCGTGCTGCCGTTGTTTGTGTCAATTCCGGCTGCGCCCCACAAGGGAAGATGTGCAGAAGATTGAGATCTTTCCCTTTGTGAACCTATTCCTCCAGTGCAAGAAGGGAAGTGGTTTTATAAAACTCACGGATGACGAAATCAATTTAAATCCAAGTAGCATATTCTTTCTTCATTAATTCATTCGTGTGATTATTCATTGGATTTTAAATAGGCAAAGTTATTACTTCGTTTAAGATCTCCTTGCGAACTGTTTTGGAATTGGCTTCTGATTGTGTTCTGGTACTTAAAATTACTTAGTTACTGTCCAGATTCAAGGAGTGCAAGAATGAATGAAGAAATGATTCACAGAGTTTCAGTTTGTTGAAATAAAAGTGCAAGTATGTATTTAAGGACCATAGGAAAGTTTTACCAGGCTAAGATTGATGGTGTGATGGCCAAAGGAGGCTGAAATGTTCTGTTGGTTTATTCATTGGTAGAGAAGTGGACGGTAATAGAAAGATGACTGATGTAACGGTTGGCTAAAACAAGAACAGATGAAAGGGACCTCCTTTTTCTTTTCTTTACTTGATTTTTGGTGTAAGGAGAAATACCAGGTTGTATAGACAGTTGGTCAAACTTGGTAGATGACTCTGGATGATTCGGGCCAAGTCATTACACAACTGGTGCATATTCTTTGAGACCGACTTGTTTTTTTGTTATGAAATCTGTGTATGTTTGTACATTGTCCAGATAACTGTATGTTCAAAGCAAGTCTGTCAACTATTGCACTTAAGTAAAAAATGAAGTCATAAGTATGTTCATGGAACGGAACATGGAAAGATTTTCTGGAATCAAATACTGCCCTACAACCACGTATCATCTTTTTTTTTTAATCGTTTTCCTGAACTCATTTTTTTTATCATACAGAAAATGAGCAAGGAATATTTGAGCAAGTCCTGCACGGTGATCTTGACTTCACGTCAGACCCATGGCCAAGTATTTCAGAAGGTGCAAAAGACTTGATGAGGAGAATGCTTGTTCGAGATCCAAGAAGACGTTTAACTGCACATGAAGTTTTATGTAAGTAGTTAAACAGTTTAGTTTTCTCTGATTTTAAAGTGTAAATAACGACTGAGCTAATGGGGGTGAATTCAATAATATTTCATACTTGGATATGATTATCAATCTCTAGATTTGTTACAAGAGCGGCTGGCTTAAAGCTTCTCTCTCTCTCTCTCTCTCTCTCTCTCTCTCTCTCTCTCTCTCTCTTATGAAAAGATTAAGTTTTTCAAATTGACTAAACTAACTAGAATCTGTACATATTCCATAAGATTGCGTCTACAATGTAATTTGCTATAATCTCTTACGCTTATCATCTTGTGTAATTATCCGTCTTTAGATCATGTAACTGGAAAAAGTGCACTCTTGCCTTCTGGATTTTTTCCTTTCCGATTATTTAGAATCCTGTCAATATGACCTCAACCGTTCCATTCCATACATCTTTTGAGATGAGCAATTTGGATAGTCACTGAGGGTCGATATTGAAACTTTTGCAGGCCATCCTTGGGTTCAAGTTGATGGTGTGGCTCCCGATAAGCCTCTGGATTCTGCAGTTCTGAGTAGAATGAAGCAATTTTCTGCAATGAACAAGCTCAAGAAAATGGCTTTGAGAGTGAGTCTATCAATATGCAAATACTAATTTATGAACATATTGGAGATAAAATAGATTGGTTGAAACTAGTCTGCTAGATATTAGATATGTTATACGTGTTACAGGTCATTGCCGATAGCCTATCCGAAGAAGAAATTGCTGGTCTAAAAGAAATGTTCAAGATGATAGACACAGATAATAGTGGTCAAATAACTTTTGAGGAGCTCAAAGATGGATTAAAAAGATTTGGCTCTAATCTGAAGGAGTCCGAGATCTATGATCTTATGCAGGCGGTAAGTCTCTTATTAGTCCTTGATCCAGCTCTGAAGATATGTAACTTACTGCAAAAGAAACTTTTTGGTTGATGCTACCATTGTATTAATCCAACTGATATATAGCATATTTTTTATGCAATCAAAGTTTCTGTAAGTGGGCGTACTGGTGACCTATTCATTGTTCGGGGAAGGGAAAGAATTAAGACAAAAATTCATTAATTTAATCCTTTTCATTGTTGTGATACTTTATATTTCCAAATCTGTCATCAGTTTATAATCAAAGGTTTAGATTGGTTTAGCTTTGGGACATTCTTAAATCTCTTATTCAGCCAACACAAAGATGATGGCATACTTCAGTAACTCTTTAAATTGACTGAAATTGCAGGCTGATGTTGATAACAGTGGAACAATTGATTATGGTGAATTTATAGCTGCAACATTACATATGAATAAGATTGAAAGACAAGATCATCTTTTTGCTGCTTTCTCTTACTTCGATAAAGATGGGAGTGGCTACATCACTGCAGACGAGCTTCAACAAGCTTGTGAAGAATTTGGCATTGGGGATGTCCGCATGGAAGAAATGATCAGAGAAGCTGACCAAGACAATGTAAGTCCCATTTCTCACCACTTGATATTAAATCCTATTTTTTAAGGGGTTTCAGGGAAGGTTTTGATCAGAGAGAAAACATAAGTAAGTTGTCATAGTGAAGTCAATGGCCAAGTGGCTGAGGCATGGGAGTAACAACCAGAGATCTCGAGTTCGAACCCCAGCTACAACACTTTGGTGTGAGTCAATCTTTTCTAGTCTTGGAGGGTAGGATTATCTTTCATTAACTTTGCTTATGGGCTGGACAGGGTGTCTGGTTTACTAGTCGATTTACGCGCAATCTGGATCAAACACCGCCTATATTAAAAAGATGGTTTAGGACTTGCTCGGACTCTCCGAAAATTTCGCCGGGTGCGTGTCGGATCCTCCAAAAGTAGTGTATTTTTGGAGGATCCGACAAGGGTGCGGCAACATTTTGGAGAGTCCGCGCAACATAGCTGATTAAGACTAGTTTCTCTTATCACCAAAATTATCGGGATCTAGCTGCAATTTAATTCACCAACAAGGAACTTTTGATAGGATTAAAAGGATTTACTTCCTTTTTACAGAATTTCAAGCAAGTTATTGGTTCCAAAAACACTAGAGCTTTGTTGCCTTTCTCCTCTTCATATATTCCATGATTCATACTGGTTTCTTAGCATTCACATCATTAGACCTACTTAGAAGATGTCTGAATCCTAGTAATAGTAAACGTTTGTTAAAGAACTAAAGAATGTCTTCACTCGAAAATGGAAGATATCCAACAATGGCGGTGTTATTCCTATACAAATTGGTTTATATTGGCTTAATGATGAATTTTCCTATTAATTGTGATGATGCTACCATGTGCAACATGCGCTGATTGAGTGTGTTGATAGCAAATTCTCTTATTAAATTTTCAGGACGGGCGCATTGACTACAATGAGTTTGTTGCCATGATGCAAAAGGGAAATCCAGTGCTTGGTGGTGGCAAGAAAGGTCTAGAGCATAGTTTCAGCATTGGATTCAGAGAAGCACTAAAACTATAGAGATCTTTAAAGAGAATTTTTTTTCCTCCTTAGTGTTTGTCTATTTTTTTCTTCATTTCCTTGTGGAAATTTTTGTGTTTTTGGGAGTGTATAGTATTAAACAAGTGCTTTGCTAAGCAGCATCGTTGTTTCCAGCATTTTTCATTTCTTTTCAATCTCGTGCAATTTTCCCTTTAATTTGCATTAATTAATCTGGAAGTGATCCTACGCTCGGTAACTTGTTTAACATGGAAGTAACAATATTCAACTCCAATTTTTAGTCATCCTGTTTATTTGAATCTTCATTTACTCAAGGGGATGCTAACTATCATTGTATTCACAAATCTTCCAAGATACAAACCGTTTGTTTCCCCTAACCGTGGGTTTACACTAGGAAACTCCAAATTATTATGGATGATGTTGGCCAAGTTGAAGATTTGTGATGAGCTATTTCCCTCCCTCTTCCCTATGAAGCTGATCTCCTATTGTCTCACAAGCTGATCTTGACCCATGTTTTATCTAGTATTTACAGTTTACCTCGATTTAGTACTGCTCTCGTGATCCGCACTGAAACAATGCTTTACCCTAGATGTTCAGTCAACTACTACACCTCTATGCATTTCAGGGGAAACTAGTTAGCTCCGCGTTCAAGTAGCATTTCATCCCTAATCACAACTCATCCAATGATTTTTCAATATTAATCTATTTGGACCTCCACTTAGTTTCATGGAAACGCCGTCTTGGTCATGGATAGATCACCTAGTTTCGGGTCCATAAGCAGTAACAATTGCTCTACAAAGACTCGCTTTCGCTATACGGCTCCGGTTGGTTCCCTTAACTAAGTCACTGCGTATGAGTCGCCGGCAATGGATGATTTATACAACAGATTTCAATGAATTTGAGATTCATGCATGCAACGTTGATTATTGAAAGTAGCACTGGCTATTGATGTAGTAGAAGATGACAACTACATAATGACACAGTCTTTAAGTTCTACATATAAATAGGGAACGAAGTTACTAAATCAAACTGTTCATAACACGAGATACTATTCTTCTTCCTCCACTCTTATTTTACAACTGATAAAGTTATAAGAAAAAAGCCCTTTCAACCACTATGTGGCTGGGCAATGTGCATGGATGCAACTCTATAGCACAAAAGATATTCAGTGCAACGATTGCCTGAAAATGTGTTTTATTCAACAAAAATATAGATTAATGAATTAACTCATCAACTCAGGATTACGCTGGGTAGTCATGTGCATGTGACATTTAATGAAGTATAGCTAACATCTTTTCATGTGCATATTACATTTTATGAAATACACCTAGCATGTTTGAGCAATGTCTAATATAATTTCAAGGACTCAGGATTAGTGATAAGAACTTAACACGTGAAATATAAGTTAGACGCATGTCACACATTCGAACCTTGTTGCAGTTCAAAACTTTATATTCAACTGAATATATAAAGGATAAAGAGATCGAACCTTGCATTTCTGAATTATAAACAAAGGCAGAATACATTGACAACCACTTAAATCTGTCCACACTTTTCACCGAGACGCTCCATTTTAAGTCTGTCTCATTTGAACACTTCAACCACATCTCAAAATATGTCATTTAGACACAAAATTGATAGGCGGCCAAAATACAAAAATGCCTGCCATTCACACGCTTGACTGACACATGTAACTTTCTTAAAAAAGAACAATTGTAATTAAAAAAGAAAAAAAATAGCAGAAAACCCTCTCCCCTCCTCGATAAAATTCTTCTCCGACAAATCCTTTCCCTCCCCTCTCCTCCCCTCCCCACGCTGCTGCTTCTTCTCCCCTTCCCACCCGTTTTTGCTATATTAATTCTTTGGAACTTGTCCTAATGGCAATATTCTGGAAATAGCAAAGAAATTATTATGACTTTTACTGTGTGTTGCAAAAACTTGAAAGAATTCTGTTTTCCCACTTGTTCTTTCAAAACATATTTTTGGGTTGAGTTTGTTTTTCAAGTTGAAAAGGAAACTTGTGATTGGAAGACATGGCAAGGAACAGAGTATTCACGGAGGTGGAGGGAAGAGAAGATGGAGGAATTTGAATTTGTGAGCACCTATGAATTCTAAAGAAGTCCATGTTCTTGCCATCGATGATAATATCATAGATAGGAAAGTTCTTGAATGGCTACTCAAAATCACTTTTTGTAAAAGATTGAATGAAAATTCACACCCCATAATCTTAACCCAGCTCTTTTGCTTTTGTTTAAAATTACAAAAAGAAATCTTGATATTAATTTGCAATCTGAATTTGCTGATTTTGTTTTGGCAAAACTTGTTGGCCACAATTTCAATAGATAGTTTGGTTGGATTGGTCGATGCTTGGGTGTGAAAATATTGAAGGAGTTTGAGGAAGAAGGTGAAGATATGGGGCCACAGATCTGAAAAATGAAAAAGAAAAGTTCAACTAAATTTTTTTTGGCAAAACTATTCATTTTCCGGCAAGAAGTATGTGGAGTATGCTTTTTGGATGATTTTCATGCACGGCAGAAATGTGAGATACACTTGACCTGACATTTCAGCACATTGTGTTTAAACTACACATTTGAGATGTTGAAATGTTCAAATGAAACAGATTTAAGATAGAGTATCGAAGTAAAAATAATGGACAAATTTAAGGGGTTGTTATTTTACTATAAACAAACTAAAATACGGTACAATTCGCAAGAGCAAAGTGTACTTTGGTAAGTACTACTGAAGTAAGAGTCAGGGGCGGAGCTACGGTAGTGGGCGGGCTAACTCAGTGACTTTTTCCGGAACCATGCATTTGCATTAAAATATTTACTAAATCTATATAAATATATACTGCCAAACCTAAAAACAAAAGAAGTCTTGGTTCAACGATAAGGACTGTACATTTGGTAGAAAAAATAGGGATTCGATCTCCACTAAAAATAATATTTTATTTTAAAATTTAAAACTTACATATTTTCAATCCTAACTCCGCCCGGTATCACAGCACCACAAATATTTGTAACTTTGTGTAGTTGATCAGTACAGTCCAAGGCTACAAGCTTAGCAATACTAAAATTACAGTCACAGGCGGCCAAAATTTGGTCACCCCACTGGCCCGCCCACTTTTGTCAATTTAACAACATTCAAATTATACAGATACTCACGCTCCTCAGATCTTTTAAAAAAAAAAAAATTTAACTCCACACATTTTAAATTCATTTATTTTCCCCTATTTTACAAAATACTACAGTAGTGGAGTTTTTTTTTCTTTTTGCGCTTAATGCTTATTCCATTAAATTAAAAAATAATAATAACGGGCATCGCTTTCTGTGTCTATCCAACGAAAATAAAACCCTAATTTTCCCATCTCTCCATTTTTCTCTCTCCAATTTTGGTAATCGGTGCGGTGTCCTCTCTCTCTTCTCTTTCAGTAAAATGGCAACGGCGGGCGACGGCACGGAGACGGCGGCAGCATACGAAGGAGGAGGAGCCGGAGGAAAGTTTAGGAAAAGGCCGTTACGTCGGAACCAGAATAATACTCCGTACGATCGTCCACCGACGGCACTTCGAAACTCTAGTTGGCTTACTAAGCTCGTGGTGGACCCCGCATCAAAGCTCATAACTTCCGGCGCTCAACGCTTCTTTTCCTCCATATTCCAAAAGCGCCTTCCCCCTTCCCCCACGCCATTACCTCCACCTCCTCCAGGTTTTTACTCTCCCTGTGTGATCTTTTTTAACATTTTCTACCGTATATTGATATATATAATTGCGTGATTTATCGATTAATGTGATTATTGGTCTCATTTAGTGGAAAATATTGGATAGTTTGGAGGATTTTCAAGAGTTATTTTGCTAGGAGGTAGTTTTAGTACTATTGGTCTCATGTAGTGGGAAAGATTGGATATTTATGAGGATTTTGAAGAGTTAGTTTGATTTTTGTTGGAGGAAGAAAGGATGAGTTTTTTCATGATGATTGGATCTGAGTGTATGTTGGTTGTTCAATGATAAATTGATGCTTGAAAATAATTGTCTTTCGTTGTCTGTGATTTGTAGCTGTAAATTTTGGGTTCTTAAGGGATATAGTTTGAGATTTAGAGCTTCCAATTGGTAGTATTGCTTTGTCTAACTACGAAACTTGAGAAACTGATAGTTGTGTTCATTGGGGGTATGCAGCAGAACAGTTGATTACTGATTTGTGCTGCTGCTTGAGCTTGTATAGTTAAGTGGGTGGAGTTTTTACCATGTTTGATGTCGTTATGAGGTTTGACTTTAATATATGATTGTTTCTGCTTGCTACTCGAGCTTATATAGTTGCGAGGATGGAGTTTTTATTTTACCTTGTTTTTAATTGTTATGGGGTTCTAATGAAATAGACAATTTTTAGGTCTTTCTACTTGAGCTTATATAGTCACTGAGACTGAGGATAGAGTTCTTACCATTTTCGAGATCATTATGGGGTTTGACTTTAATATATGATTGTTTCTGCTTGCTACTCGAGCTTATATAGTTGCGAGGATGGAGTTTTTATTTTACCTTGTTTGTAATTGTTATGGGGTTCTAATGAAATAGACAATTTTTAGGTCTTTCTACTTGAGCTTATATAGTCACTGAGACTGAGGATAGAGTTCTTACCATTTTCGAGATCATTATGGGGTTTGACTTTAGTATGAAATTCTTTTGAATTTTCACTACTCTTAAGGTTTTATAGAATTAGTTGAGAAAGCACTGGAAGGGATGGTGAGCTGTACATTTTTACAGATGTGGATTGAACTATTTTCATAGAATTGGCTGCTTGTGGCTGAACTAGAGAATCTTTTTGACCTTGTTGAGTCAACTTAGATGTTCCTTTCTCCTTCCATCTGATCATTGTTGTCAGCTGAGAAACCCACTGGCTATTCAGCTGTTTGGTTGGAAGTGGCGATAGTTTCTGTTGGGATGATACCTTTGTTTGAGACCAACTAGATTGGAATTAAGATGTAGTTTTATGGATTGATATTATTAAACTGAAGTAATCTTTGAATGGTGTACTAGTAGCATTCTCTTAGCATTCTGCTTTCACCAATGACTTCATTTGAGACATGATTTCATTTTGATATAAACAGGACCAAGCCAAGAATCAAAGGATCTGCGTCAGGAGTCAAGTCCCAATGTAAGTTTATTATTCTTGAATTTTGTTCTCAAAGCTATGGTGCCTTATAATTGATTATGTGATTATATGTCTTCCAAGACATTGCAGCCTGTGTATTTTTTTTTGTTTTTCCTGCTATAATCATAATCTATTAAGAAATGTATGTTTCACTCAAAATTTATGATGAAAGCTGATAAACATCCCCGTGCTATTCTTGTGGGATCATTGTGCTGATGTACTAATTTTTGATTATGTGGATCATCTGTTTCCTAATTGGCAACTTTTGTATTCCTTCCGTGCTGACTGTCATCCTTTCTTTTAGTGACCATGTGTCCAAAAGAGCTCAATAATTTGTCCATTAAGTAGTTTTATTGAAGTCATCGCTTTCTTGCTCAAGCCTATGCAAAGCAAGGCGTTATTGTTTCCAGGTTGAAGTCACGCCCCTTGGAGAAATCTGTGCTCCAAACAATGACGTGCAAAGTGATAAAACGAAAAATCTGGATGGTCTTTGGATCTTAATCTGGAGGAGTTGGAACAATATCAGTATTACTGTATATTTGATACTGAAATTAGCTATTTTAGTTACAATTTGAGTAATATAGTACTAAATTCATATATGTTTGGTATTATTAATTTTTCGTATATTATGCGCTTCACTTATGACTTTTCACCTCAAGCCCCATGAACTTTGTCACACCTCTGGGCGCTTTGCTTTTGAGAACACTGCTATTAAGAAATGTATGCTCTACCTTAGATGTATATATGGTCAATGCTGATAAAAGTGTCCCCTCGGGGGAACATTTCTTCCTCTCTGTGAAGGAGTATACTGGAGCACTAGTGATGGCAGGACAAGGAGATGACCATGCTGCATGCAGCTTGGGGGACGACACATTCTCAGAGCTTGAGCAGCTGTTGAAACAGAAGACATTTACAAGGTAAGATTTGTGATAATTGACTGGGTCACCTAAAAAAGAACTTTATGATAACCCCTTTCCAGAAATTCTGGTAACTAGTCGTTGTAGAAGCATCTGTTTTTCTTTTGATGCAAGTAACGTAAAATCTTCTTCTTCCAGCCTCTAGTGGTGCTGGGCCTCTGCATTACAAAATAACAAAAAATCAGTATTACTGCACATTTATTGAACTAATAAATTCTATCATTTGATCTGTCTTATGTACATCTGCCTCATTTTGTATTGCTTCACTGCTTTGACCGACAAAATGATGGATTTAAAAACACTGATAAGTACCGATTTACCTCCCAATGACAAGTATCGTCTTTCCAATTTGCCAATTTCCTTTCACATTTACCTACAATCCTTTCAGCTTTGAAGCTAGTGGCATGCCCAGGTATTATTCCTACCTTGCATCCTGATATATCTTCCAGTCTTAGTATGTTGCATGCTTCATTGACCAGGAATCGGTGACTTTTTGATAAGTTTATGTAAGGGCTAGTTATCCCTTAAAAAACCAGCAGAATTACCTAAAAAACGGTTTTCCTTTTCTTTCTGCTTGACACAAGAGGGTGTCGTCTGCATATAAATTAAGATGTACAATTCTCCTTGCCGTATAATTACTGTCATTAGATAGTGTTTAGTGGAATTTTCTGTTGCTCGATTTCAAGGTGGATGTTTACTAACATGAAGTGTTGTGTGCGCAGATCTGAGATTAATCGCTTGACAGAACTTTTGCGCTCAAAAGCTGCAGACGTGCCTATGGGAGATGAGGAGAAAAGAGCCGAGGCCATTCTATCTAGACATGCATTGGATTCTTCGAGCCGCTTGATGGAAGGAAATAGGTCTGTGAAGGTTACATCCGGTGGAGTTGTCGCAATTCCTGTCACGAATTCCAGGGTTAGATCCTATTCTCTAGTGTTCGTTTCTGACTATTTTCTCTGGATACTCAATCTGTTGACTTTGCCAGAATCGAATAGATTCTTGGTAGCCTGACATATTTATGGTTCATCTTTCCAGATTCTTGAAGATGATATTGCATCCCCTGCTGAGCTTGCAAAAGCTTACATGGGGAGTAGGTCATCAAAGGTGTCGCCATCAATGCTGAGCACGCGTAGTCAAGCTGTGAGAGAAGATACACCTCTGCTAAGAAATGTACAGTATGTCCAAAAATCACCTCTTCCATCAGCAACAACTAGGACTGCTGGTCTTCTCGGGGTTCGAGAGAATGAGTTTACTACTCCAAGATCTCATGGAAGATCTGCTATATACAGCATGGCTCGTACGCCATACTCTAGAGTTCGTCAAACTGAGGTTCAGAAGGTTTGTTTGTTTTCTGCTTACTTCGATCTTGGAAATCGTTTTATGTGTGACTGAACTTTTTTGTTTTAAAATTGGTCTACTACCAGGCTACCAGCTTGACAAATTATGTCAATGGTGGGTGTTCATCATCTAGGTCAGTGTCGGAGCACGATGTACTTTTTGGGTCTAAACAGGTATTTATTTACAGATTACTATGTTGTTCTGAACTCCTTTGCGTTGTGTACCTGTGTTATCATCAAATGAGCTTATTCTTTTCACTTCTTTTCCTTATTTGCTTATTTAGTTTGTAATTTTTCACTCTTTCAGGCCCTTAAACGAAGAAGCTATGTTCTGGATGATGATCTTGGATCTGTTGGTCCCATGCGTAGGATTAGGCAGAAACCTAATCTTCTATCTTTTGGAGTTTCACGTCCCAGTGCTGGAGTTGCTTCAGCCAGCAACCTGCATCCGGAGGTATCAAAAGTTGTTGGAGATGTCCAAGATAATAAAACCACGCCTACAAGGCATATTGCCGTTCCTCCAAAGTCCAGTGAGACTGCTGCAAAGATATTGAAGCATCTCGAAAAGATGACCCCAAAGGGAAAATCATCAGAATCCAAATTAGCTGCAGGGAAAGAGAATAAACTGACACCGAACATGCTTCATGGACGAGCTCTTAGAAGCTTGGAGGATTTGGATTCACCCAAGCTGCTGCAGAGCGCACACGATAGCTATAAGCTGGAGAACTGGTCTAAAATATTTCCTCCCAATCCCCGTGAACCGAAGCAAGGGGAAATTGAACAAAATGGGCGTAGTTCTGCTAGCGAGTCAGCTGCTAAAGGAAAAAACGACACAATCTTTTCATTTAAAGATACTCAACCCACTGTTGAAACCAATTCCACGGTAAACAAGTCTGCTACTCAACCTCCTCCCAAGAAACTAGCTTTTAAGATGAGTGCACACGAGGTGAGCATTTTTTTTCTCACTGCATGTAGATCCTTAGACTTTAACAAGTTTTAAATTGACATTGGATAGTGCTTTTTTCGTGGATACTGCTGACAACTTCATATTGTACTTATTTTTGGAAAATAATCTTCTGTGTATGAATGGTTATTTTTCTATAGATAAAGTTCTCTCCCGTTGTAGAGATCCATGTGATCATTTTGTTAGTTATTTAATTCTGCTCTATAATCATTACCACCACTATTCTGGTATTAGCATTTATGTAGGTGTGATATATTATTTGCTTGTTTCTTTTGTGTGACTTTAGCTGCTTCACTGGCCATTATGAATTCAATTTGCGGACTGCTTTGCTATTTTGTTCTTATCCGTTTATGCCTTTACGGTTCTTTTGAGGTTCAGGTCTTCACTGGCCATTGCCATTTAGATGGTTGACATTCCTTTTTATCGTGTCTGTTGTGGTGCATTCTACAGGATTCTTTTGAGCTAGAAGAGGACATAAACTCTAATGGGCCTTCATCTCAATTAGCTGAAGGGAGAGGGAAGCTGGAAATATCTGCTGCGGACCAGAAGCCATTATGTGCTGCTGAACCCACGAGCAAACCTGCTGCTTTGCTGGAAGTAAGGACACCTTCTGGTGTTTTAGGCAAAAAATCTGATACAGAGACTCCTGATAGTGGTGCCACCGCTGTCAAGAACACCATTTTCCTGCCTATTGCAGGTTCCCAATCAATAGAAACGGTGTCTAACAAGGAGACAAGTGTTGACAAGGTTCCACCATTTGTATTTTCGTCATCAACCCAAGTCACTGGGTCAAAGCCAGGTAGCTCGAGCAGGTTAGTTCTTGCTATAATATACTCCTAAATATGATCAACAATATTCTAACCATTTTATCATCTGATGCTTTCATTTATTTGTTCTGATAATAGTGTTAGTAGCTATCTGTTCCCTTCTGTTGCAAATATCTTGCTGTGACAACCTTATTTCTAGTGATATCCTAGTTGTACTTCTCAATATATATGGGTCTGGATCACTTTGTTTCCTTGAGATGCATTTACTAGCTGTTGTTTGCACTTGATTCAGAGCCCGTTCGGTCAAGCTGCCAAAAACTACTTATTTTGAAAAGTACTTCTCAAAAAAGTACTTTTGAAGATTAGTAGTTTGTGTTTGGCCAATTCGTTTGAGAAGTACCTTTTGCGATATTTTACAAATTGTGCTTGGGCAATCTTTCCAAAAAGTACTTTGAGTGCCAAATTACTATAAAAAATCGTAAAGGTTTAGTTTACAATTAGCATTATTTAATAAAGAATTTTTTTAATATGTATTATAAAAGAATTTAATTAATTTTTATTTTATTTTTATGCAATTATAGTAAAAACATAAAGTAATAATATATTAAAGATTTTAATCAATATAAAATATAAGTATATAAAAGCAATAATATTTGTAGGAACATATGTGCTTACAAGTTACATGTTTGAAAAACACTGTCAGTTCTTGACAAAATTACAAACTAGGTAGTATTGCATTATGTTAACTATATTACATGCATGCACGCCAAAACAAATATAAATAAAACTACAAACTGGAGATCCTATAATATAGGTAAACTATGAAAGAAAAAAAGAAATCTTACCTAATGACGAAAGTGCTTGAATTTGGTGATTAACCTTGTTATTTCAAAGAGTAATAGGAAACGAAGAAAAGAAGAAACGACGGAAGAGAAAAGAAGAGATCTATTTATAATAGAGAGATTATTCTAAGAGAAGAAGAATAAAAATACGGTAAAAATAAAAAAGAGAAAAAAGGGATAGTAGAGATAAAAAAAAGTAAAAAGTTAAATTAATAAGGGATAATTTTGGAAATATAATTTATGGTAAGGATATTTTTGTCATGAAAAAATTATTTTGTACTACTGCTTCTTGGAAGCTAGAATTTGTAGCTTCTTCCCAAAGCAGAAAAACTGCTTCTGCTGCTGCTCAAAAGTACTTCTCTGTTTTGACCAAATACCTCATATTTCCAAATTAAGTACTTTTGGCAAACAAGCACTTTTGACCTCCCAGAAGCTTGGCCAAACAGGCTCAGGGGAACTAGTGTTGGTTCTTTTCCCCCTTTTTAAATTTAATTTAAATCTGCGAAGTGCAAACTATTTTATCTGAAATAGATGTGGTATGCGAATTATAACTGTGAAATGCAATGGTTGACAAAGGTCAGTAGTCAACCAAAAATATAAGCAATTAAATGTTGAATTGTAAGCTTCTGAAGAATTCTAAGGTGGATGAGAGCTTGTATTTTGTTTTTCAAATTTATTACAAAAGTGATGAAGCATGCTTAGTTCTGAGTTTGTGTTATGATTTCGGGGTCATTTCAAGCTTCTTGAACCCTGAATTTGTAGTGCACAAAGACGAAAGAAGAGAAATTATTGCCGAGTATCATGCTGACATTTACAATTTGTTCACTGCCACTACCTGCTATCTCATGTGTGTCTTAAGTATCTGATATTCTTCTTATTATCACTCATCCACTATCAATTCATGTAAGAGTAGTAGTTTTGTTTTTCAATGTGGTTGATGAGTAAAGGAAACCCAAGAGGAAATTGTTTCTCGTGATTAGCAAAAAAATAAGAACTTTTGCATCCAAGAGTGTGGTCTAGCAGTTGCTGTAGTTTGTGTGGAGAGAAGATGATGACAGGTGTCAGAATGTTTTACTAGTTAGCTGTTAGGGAGTAGTTGGAAAAACAGTCCATTCTTCTGTGTTTTGTGCACCCTAGTTTATACTACCTGAAAGTGCATCTGAAATTTGTTGAAATGTCTGCAGCGTATCCAATCTAGCGTCCAGCCCAACTGATGCTCGGCCTAATCCTTTTCAGCTGGATAACTCACAGAAGGCTGTGGACAGCAATGGCAAATTAGAAGCATTATCATCTGGTCCATCAAGTTCAATATCAACAAGTGGTATTTTCTCATTAGGTGCTCCATCCAGTACTTCAAGTTTAAGTAATGGACTATTTGCTCCTAGTCCTGCTATCTCAACCACCTCTGCCTTGTTGTCAGGTAATTTTACAAATGGTATTTCTTACTAGTAGCTCAAATATTTTTGCCCCTTTGACGAGCATTGTGAGTATGATTGGTGCCACAACAGGCAGCTCTACCGCTTCCGCGAGCAGTCTCTTTGGTTCCAGTGCAGCATCCTCAGTTTCCAAGGAACCTCCTATCAAATTTGGTTTTTTTGGAGTTCCTTCAGAAACAGTTTCAGCACCATCAACAACTTCCACCGCAGAAACTACAGACGTGAAAGCCAAATCCGAGACTGGAACTACTTTTGGCAATTTGAAGAGTTCACCTTTTGTGGTTGCGTCTTTTGCAGCTACAGGCTCTGGAAATAGTATCTCTGGTTTTAGTTCATCAGTAATGTCAGTGGTTACTGCAGGTAGTACACAGTCTCAGGGTTCTGTTTTTAGTACAGGAGGTGAATCACTTGTTAGTGCACAGTCTCAGGGTTCTGTTTTTAGTACAGGAGGTGAATCACTTGTTAGTGCACAGACTTCTGTTGCTGGATCTGGCACTTCTGTCGTCTCTGGGAGCATGCCTGCTCATTTCGGTTCATCACCATCCATAGCAAACTTTCCCGTGTTTGGTTCTGCGCCTGGTACTACTGGCCAAGTTTCTGCTTCTCCTTCGAAAAACAACCTAGTTGGCACCAGCAATGCTGCTTCTGGAATATTTAATTTTGGTGCTAGTTCGTCAGCTTCCAGTGCAGCAGGCAGGTTAACTGGGTCTATAAATGGCACGGCCCCGTTGGCATTTGCTTTTAGTGCCAGTTCTGCAGCTCCTGCTTCGGAAACCAGTGTACCTGCCACCTCCAGCAGCGCTACTCCTGGGACATTCAATTTTGGTGGTAGTTC